CAGCGTACAAAACTATATAAAAATTGTTCATGTCGGACAACTGTTATGAAATAATATTTCTGAAATTTTGAGTAATAAGAGATTTATTATAATGTAAATCAAATAACTTTTTGCGTGATGCGGAAATGGTATGCTAATCGATATCGAAAAATACCTGTAGCTAAAATCTCTCTCTGAATACTCCAATACAAATATATATTTATATAAAAGGATGAAATTCTCTATCATATGAATAAATAATATTAATGGGATTTTGAGTTTAAAGAGTTATACTACAATTTAAACCTAATCCATTAAAATTTAATTTATCAGTTATATATACAAGTAAAAATTTCTACAATCTCTCTCCGAATACAACCATATATTGCTTAAAACAGCATGAAATACTCTTCCAAATGATAAAACAACATTGGAGGAGGCCTTTGATTTTAATGAGATTTATTATATTATTAATAAAAAAAAATTCTGTGTATTTCGGTGTCAGTATGTTCAACAAAATAACGTTTGCATTTATTAAATTGGAGAGTGAATAACTCCTTAAGTGTTTAGAAGTAGAAGTCAAAACTGTAAAGTTCAAATATATTGAAATTAGATACTGGAGTGATTTTAATCAATAATCACATAATAAGTGACTAGTATTAATAACAATCCTAAATTATTTCTACCATTCCTTTAACTTATGTTAGTCTTACCAAAGCTGCCTCTGGTCAAGTTAACATCATTAGTTTGAGTCCATAAATATAATATAATGTCTTATTCACACTTCTACACGGCATATCTTCTACACTTATGATAAAACTATAAACTGTTCGAATATACAATAAAAGTACCCTATGAGAAATTTGAAAATGAAAAAATGAGCAAACTATAAGATCAGGAAACCTATAGAATAAAATAAATGATGTTATATTGAAAAGATCCAGGATGTTGTAAGAATCCTCCAAACACATTTTGACCTCTGCCTTTAAACATTTAAAGAGTTATTCACTCTCCAACTTAATAATTCACCCTTAAATATAAACATTATTTTGTTAAACCTACCGAAACCGCAACACACAGAAATTATTTTATTTATTTATATTAAAAGAAATCTCATTAAATTCAATAGGCCCCTCCAAAACTCTTTTATCATTAAGAAGAGTATTGCCTATTGTTTCAAGTAATATATGGGCTTATGAGTTTGGGGAGTTATATTACAATCTAAACCTAATACATTAAAATTTAATTCATCAGTATGTTTGTATTCGGGGAGAGATAATAGCAATTTATTTATGTAAAAATTGCTATAATCTATCTCCAAATACAACCATACTGATAAATTAAATTTTAATGTATTAGGTTTAGATTGTAATATAACTCCCAAACTCACAAGCCCACTAATATTAGTTTTTCATTTGTTAGGGAATTTTATACAGTTTTCATTAATAGATGGTTGTATTATGGTATTTGGAGAGAGATTTTAGCTATATGTAGTTTCTGATATTTTTATCACTATTTTGAAAATTTATGTTTATGAATTTTTCTTATATGAAGGAAAATATAATGCTAAAACTTATGATATTTGCAGATTCTGTATCAAATTTGACAAATGAATAAATATTGGTTTTACAAACGACAACCAAACAGGTACAAGCTTGTTTTGAGCCCGAAATGTCTTCACAACTTCAAATATTTCAAAAGCTTAAAAGCCCATCATTCTGAAACTAATCGTTAAAATTTGCTAAAATTTAGCATTTTTATTTACATGTATATTTACTTTATATTTACAAGTTTTCATTAAGATCTGAGGGGAGTGGGTTACAAATTGAACTTTTCTGGATGGTATGGCATGGAATGACGCTTATGTAAATATTACTATAAATGCTAAATATTATCTATAAATGGAAAAAAATCTTACCTATGAACAAGCCCCTTAACAGATGAACAAACAACCCAGCTTGTTATCAAATAGCTTATGAATGCGAATTAATATCCACTTATAGGACTAACATGAAAAATTTATTTTAAAAAATGGGAACTAGACTTTTGGAGCTTCTAATATAATATATAAACATGGCTTTCTTTAATTTCTTCAAATGATATTTAACTAATTGAAGCAGAAGGATAAAACACTAATTGTAAGTCAAATAAGTTCTATTGCTGAAATATATTTGATAAGGCATCAAACATAATAAAATTAAATTTCAAGAGTAAATTATGTTTAAGAAGCTTGGAAAAGAAGAAGAAAAACATTATAAAAAATAATTTTTTTCAATGTTCGCTCATTGATTCAGTTTGATGTAAACAAATTTGATGCTTACAACTCATTTCATTTCAACAGATGTCAAATGATTAAATAATGATTTATTACGAAATTTCATGGCATAATAGAAAAATGAATATTTAAATTTTTTCTAAGTATATTTTATAATTAATATTGTTTTATTGCATGAATATTTAATCTCTGCTTTAAGTAATGACAGATTCCTCACTAAGGTGATTGATTATATTTGAAACTACTCTATACTATATTGTATTGAAAATATAGTGTTCTTTATTTAATTAAAATTTAACAGTATATTTTATTTTTAATGAATACATTATTGATATGAGCAATAAGGATAATTCTGATAAGAAGAATAATTAGGTTAACTAAACCTTGTTGCCATTATTTTTATTATAGATATGCAAATAAATATTTGGAAAAGAAAAAAGTATTAATTTCATTTATCAAATATGTTATTTAATATGTGGGTCATTTAAAAATTGTGGTCATATTTATCTCACTGAACAATAACAGCGTCAAATCACAAGGAAAGTAGTTACATATTTTTTTCTCACGATCTATCTTTTTGATAACATTCTTACCATACATTGTTTAGTGAAAGCAATATCATCTAAATGTTTTGTTACTTGGTAACATCAGTAAATTCTTCATTCCAAAAAATGATTCAAATACGACAAAACTCAACAGTTTTTTTATCCAGAACATATATAAAATTAAATTAATATAATCTGGTATTAAAATAGCTCATACCCTACGAGAAAAAATAAAAATATTATTTTTTTTCAAAATGATGTATCTATGGTTATACTTATGATTATTATGCTAATATTAGTAACTCCTTATAAAATAAATATAAAAAATGTTGAAAAACATGTTATTTTTCTCTTTTTTTTTTCTCAATAAAATTGATATCCAAATGTTGCCAAAATTGTTAATGATCCTGTATAAATTTATTCATTTGATAGGAAATTAAAATGTTTAACTATCTGCATATTTATAAGAGATACTGAAATGAAATAACAAATTACAATTAGCTTTTATTAAAAATATTGGATTGATACTTAAATAGAAAGACCTATTGTTGCCAAATGGAATTTATCTTATATGGTAAGAGTATTGCTTAGTTTGAAAGAATTATAAAGTTTAGAAATTAATATAAAAGTAAATATGAATATAAAATAATAAATATAAATAGACAAAAATGATTTGTTGAACAAAAAATATGATAAGCCTTGGTTGAATCCCCCTTCAGCAATCTAATCTTAAATGTCTCTCTATTATCTAAAATGCTCAACTGCGGCTTGTCCAGAAGTGATAGAAGGTAAAAAATATCCACCATTACAATATATTGTGATGATAAACAAAAAAATTAAACTAAACATATATTTTCTCTCTCTTGTTGATGCTTTTCATATATAATGAAATTTATATATTATCAAATAATATTTAAAAAATGTTTATTTTACTCATTTACTTCTTCAGTTGTGATTGTTTATCTTTTGCAGTTAACATAAATGTAAATTTTAGCAATACTTTAGTAGAACAGTAAATTTGGATATACATGTGGTAAGCATTACTTGCTTTAGAGAGCATTTTTCCTGCCTAGGTTTACCTACCTGGGGTATTTTTAGGTTTTCATTTAATTCTTTGATTGTTATATAATAAGCTGCTCAGATTTAAGTTCTCAATCATACCCTACTATTGTTGATCTAATACCACTATATATCTATTTATCTTTATCTCATATAATTTAATATTTAAACTGATATCCTGATTGTAATTTAAACACAACCTTAAATTAAATATGAACAAAAAATCATATATAGAAAACATAAATATTTTCAAAGCATTAGTTCCATTTTAAATACCAGTAACTGAAATGGAATCTTGATTCAACTGTCAATGCAAATATACTGTATATGGTACAGTACATTAAATCTATCACTTTAATTGACACAAAATATGATTGTTATAATTAATGTTTTTAATACCTACAAACTAAATTTGGTAATTAAAAAGATTGGAAGATCTTTTTTTTTTTTTTTTTTTATGTATGGTTCTAATATATCTTATTTAATAAATAGTAATATTATCTAAATAAATAATTAGTTTTTTAATTTAATGAGAGATTAATTTAATTAATATAATATTAATCTAGCAAGAATTTAATCATTATGAATATGTGAGACGATATTGAATATAAAAATAACCAGATTAAGTAGAAGTAATAATGAATGTAAGTCAACTTACATAAACAATCATGAAATAAAGCTTTTTAATTATATTTGGAAAGTTTTAACATTATCAGCCCTTACAATCAGTGCTTATCAAGGTCCTTCTCATGTAGTTGATAGTGAGAGCCAGAGATGGCAGCACCAGCTAACCGAATCAGCACTACAGTTTCTATTGGCCTATTGTTCATTGATAATTTGCTTCAATACTGTCTCTGGTGGCTTGTATCGTGTGTGACCTTCTGCACCGCTGTTACAATGTCATTTTCAATATACCTTTCCTTGTGAAATAAGAATTTATGAAATGCATAGGCATTTTCTACCATCAGTTGATCTCATAAAATCCCTTCATCAGGTTATGTTGTCAAACTTCCCTCAAACAGAGACCAAACTACAAAATGATGTGAATCAGTCTTAACAGCTGTCTCTTGGTGTGTTTCCACTCTCTCCTTTGTCTGCATTTTCCTTATCACATTTTACTGACATATCTTCACTGGTTCCAGGTTTACCAAATGATGGTAAAAATTCTTCGGCAGGTCCCCTGGGGGAGGGCCATGCTTTTCCTTCTTTTGGTCTGGTTGATATTCATAGTCATCTCCATTGGTTTCCTCCGGCCTGACCATCAGAACCAACAGCAGAATCAGCGGATATCTCAAGCGTTGAGAGACTTGCAATCTCTGCGACATCAGAGGGAAGAAATTAACAAATTACTTACTGAATACAACTCAGGGTATGTGTTTAGAGAATATCAATCATTTATTTACAAATTCTGATACCTAAATTATTTAATTTTTTATAAGTAATATGCATAAAATATCTCACTTGGAGGTTTAATTAGATATTATATTAATCTTTTGATATATATTAGTTTGTCGCTGAAACAAGATGAAAAAGATGCCTTGCTGAAAAGTATACAAGACAAAGTTGCCGATTCATCTCATATTATAGCTAATACTAACGAACCTGCTGAAAATAATGGTAAGATTTTATTTTTCATGAAATGTTTTCAGTTAAGCATTGTCAAAAGACTTGTAGTTGTTTTATTATTTTTTACAATATTAGTATGGCCGAAACGTCAAAATTAATGCGTATCAATAAAATGCTGGTGATAATTGGCCTAATTTATTGTAAAAAATAAAAAACTTCAAGACACCAAAATTAGGAAAAATGAACAGAAGAGACTTGTAGTTATTATTATTAATATGTCTTGGATTAGTTATGAGAACAAATATTAAGAACTTGAAAACAAGAAAGTTTAAATCTACTATTCAGAAATATTCTCAAGCACATATGAATATAAATAATACCTATCTCACTTAAGTTAGTCTATTTTCATCCTCGAATGTATGTTCTTGCTTTTAAATTATCTTAAAGTCTATTTCAAAACGATAGGCAGTGCATGTCTGGCTTTAGGTGGTAATCATAAGATCCTTAAAAGAAAACAAAGGTCTAGTTTAGATAAATGTATTGTGAATGATCATCACTGCTGTTCCAGTTTGTTGCGATTGGTCTCTTTTGTAATATAGATGGGTAATAAAAATAAAAATTAAATTCTACAAAATCCGAGATGTGGTCCAAATACTAGTGGAGTTGAACAAATAAAACTCAGAAGTAGAAAAATCATCAATATGCCAAGTTCAGGTTGTAGAAGAAGTACTTGGAGCCTTTAAGTTAGAAGAAGCTGATGGCAAAAAGCTGTTATTTCGCCTATGCTGTTCCGTTTTAACTCTTGAAAAAGTAATAAGTGTAATGTTAGTAGAAAATAGAGTTGTTAATATTGGAATGAAAGCCAAGATCTCTTGGTGTACAAATGATAAATAATAATAAATAATAATAATAATAAAATAATAAATATAAATAGACAAAAATGATTTGTTGAACAAAAAATATGATAAGTCTTGGTTGAATCCCCCTTCAGCAATCTAATCTTAAATGTCTCTCTATTATCTAAAATGCTCAACTGCGGCTTGTCCAGAAGTGATAGAAGGTAAAAAATATTATAAATATTAGTCCTCAGAAGTTAACTAGAGGATATAGTGGAAGCAAATAGAATTTATTTATTATAGAATAAAGGTACAGACGAATATAAGCTTTAGAGAAAAGCAAATAATCTTACACGTAAATGAAAATAGAACCAAATAGATGATCGTAACATTTAAGTACAACACGCCAATAATTTGGGTAATTATATTAATGATATTTTCAGGCTTCTTGTGACAATTAACTCTCAAATATTGTTAATCATTGGCAATTAATGGTTTGAGAAACAGCTCAGGGACTAAAGTGAAAAAAAATATTGAATACTGTCTAATCACATGACATTCCTACTTGTATGTGAGATTGACAAGCCTCACATACCAGGGAGAGGGAAAGGAGGGGCAGATTTATTTAAATATATTGTTTTTTATTTTAATTATTTCATTAGAATCCTGAGATCAGGATTCAAACCCACAACCTTCGGGTTTGTAGGTTAGTAAAATAAAATGTTCTTGTCTCCAATAGAGGATTCCAAGTGTTGAGTTTACAATTTATTAAAAAATTAAACATGTTATCATAGAAACCTAACATAAAATACAGGCAAAAAAGTTTTTGAAAAATGTTCACCTGAAATTGTAAGGCAATTACGATACTTTTCCTTACGTAATTGTTTTAGAAAAATTAAATGAGTTTTAATCGAGACATGATGAAGGTATTTTAAAAATATTATTATAACCCTGAATAGCTGATTTTTTAAGCTGTGCATATTCTAATACTAATACTGAAGGAATTAAAATTTTTGTTGTTGTTCAGTAGAGTTGTTAATAAGGAATTTGAGGTGAAGACTACTCAAATATCATCCAAATCGTTAGAGTTGTTCACCACTGCAGTCTACAGAAAAAAATGTTTTTTGTCTATTGCGTACTGGGTCCCCAATTTGGAATACAAGAGTCAGAGGCAAAAACCTTACGAAACCAAAGAATAAAACAAAACTGGTCCATCTGAGATAGAGATCATTGTGGCACAGATAGATAAATGCCCAATTACATTTGTAGTGTACTGACGAGAGTGCGAGCTTCAAGCTCACAAAAATCTCAGTACAAGACTGTGTTCTCACCTACTGTTTTTAGGGGCAAGGTGGCCGAACGGGCTAACACCTGTACACAACACTGCATTGCCTGGCAACCTGATAACTGAAGTTTGAGTTAGAAAAAGAATTACGAGTTCAAAGCCCAATGTCCGGTGGGACTTTTAACTCAACATAATTCTCCTGGCCCAGGGAAAACTCCATGTAGCCTAAAAAGGCAAGAAAGGGAGAGGAAAAAAAACAACAAATAAATGGCAAAAAATGCTTTTTTTTTGGACTCAGGGACTGTGAAACGTAAAGATCTATTGTAAACCACACATTGAAAATTCAATCCAATTACAATACTTTTCTTAGCTAGTTAGCGGTAGGAAAGTCAAAAGTAATTTAAATTTTTAAATAATATTCAAAATAGGTTAAATACTTTTCCTGTTATTTCTTTGTTTATTATTTGTCTTGATTACCAATCGATAACCCAATTTTTGTTCTCTTAATATACATTAAAATTTAAAAATTATTAGAATACAGATGCCTTAAAATTATATTTTGTTCCAAAATAATTTTTGAATATTAATCCATAGCTTTAAAACCAAACCTATTAAAACAATTATCTTGTAAGTAGTTGGCATCATGAGATAAATAGGTTTATTGAAAATTATCTATTTAATCTGGAATCATTATTTTTAGGTGGAGGGAAGCCATCTCTGGTATATGAAAGAGTTCGTAGGCGTCTTTATATGGATGCAGAAGAAATGTGGTTTTTCGTGAGCGGCCAAATCAAGCAGTTACAGAAAAAGGCACAGACAACTGCTCCTCACCTTATGCCTTTACTTAATAAAATACTTCAAGAAGGTGTTGAACATAAAAGGTATAAGGTATAGAAAATACCTTACTATAAATTAGATACCATGTACTATGGCTGACAACTTTACTTGATATTTGAGCAAAAAAGAATTATTTATAGAAGTCTTTAGTTATCTATTATCTATGTAACCACTCTCATAAAACACTTAATTATTTTGTATCCGACTTACATAGAGATTAAAGTTTATTTCCTTCACATACCTTGGAAGAAAAAGTCTGCTTTGTAAGCAGGCAAAGATTAATGTGATTAAATTCAAATTAATCTTTAGAAAAATCACTTTTATCAGCCCCTTTTGGAAAATCAGATTATCCTCAAACTTTTTAGTTAAAAGCTTTAAAATCTGTTAAGAATTATGGTACTAAAAGGGTTTTTGAGGCTTTTCCAAACAAATTTTAGTCAGCCTGTTACCAGTTCAGTTATGATTGATTCATGGTAAACCTAACATTTTTTGGAAAAAATTTCGTGTTTAAAAATAATATGATTATAATCATCTGCTATCTCACTGATATGCTGTTTTCATGACCCTTGCTCAGTTCCATTACACTTTGCATCATTTAACAGCCAAGTCTGAGTCCAATCAGGGAATAGTGTCATAATCTAGATTTCTCAATTTTGTAGACGATTATTTCCTCTTTTACCCTAGTCTAATACACCACAATACAGAAAAAAACATGCATCATGTTGATTGATGTAATAATTTCCATGACATCTGGCTAGCATTTCCTTCACTGGCTTAACTGTCCAGCTAGTAATTGCATCGAGACAATGTCTCGCATAAACAGCTAAACTTAAGCTGCCGTACTTAGCCTTGGTCTATTGATTGTTCTTCCTCCATTTAATCACTCTTTTAATATTCTTTTGAGGATATCATTGTTAGCTATCCTTTACAGAATTTCAGTTCATCATTTGCCATTATACTCAATAAAATGAACATTATTCATATTAGTGCCTAAAATTTTATATTTTCTCTTTCCTGGTTCATTTAATTAAACACGAAAACAATAAATATGACCATTCTAATGTCATTTTATTGATATTTTCATCTTTATAAAATATTATTCTTCCATAAGTTGAGTGATTTAAATGTAAGTTATTTGCTCATGAATTCAGTGATATCTGTAGCTTTGAATCAAATTTCAGGTCGTTATTGAAAGATGTTGACCGATTGTCTGAAGTGGATGGTTATGCTGATTGGAGACTGAAGGAAGCTGTGGAGCTTTCTGATCTTGTTCAAAGGAGATTAATACATTTACAAAATCCAGAAAATTGTGAAAAGAGCAAGAAACTTTTATGCAATCTGAATAAGGTAATTCATAAGTTATATAAATTATCAGTAACATTTAGTTGATTTAAGACAAAATCTTCCCTAGTAGAGTTGTTGATATTCAAACTTCAATGATTTGCACTAATTTGATTTGATTTCAAGCAACGCATTCATTACCTTTTTGTAGATGAATTTTATATATATCCATTGGAACAAAAAGAACTGCACAAATGAAAAGACTCCTAGGTTATAATTAGAAGACATTAGCTCTTTTAAAAATTAATATATATATTTCTTATTAACTCATACAAACAGTTTTTAGTTTGTTGTGTGAAAGTATTGTCAATTTCTTTCTTATGTTTATTAAACTCTGGCTATAATGATAATGTATTTGGTATGTTTAAAAACTACTAGATAAAATGCAATGATAGTTATGAAAACTGATCAAGAAATATTTCTTTATATCAATTCTAACAAAACAAAATATTTGGTTCTTATTACATGTGTAGATGGTTGACTTAATGGTAAATAAAGGAAATGGTTTGGAAGTCTGTTAAAAATAACAACAAATAACTTTTAATTATTCATTTAATTCTAATGATTCTACCCAAAGAGTAGGTCTTTGTCATGGCTAAAACAAGAAGTAGGTGTTAACTCAAGAAGGAGATAACTTAGTCCCACCACTGTTAGCTACATTGAGTTTTGGCATCATTCCAAGACTTGTTTTATTGATTCAGCCAAAAAAAAAAAACCTTTTTATCATTAGAGGCCACATTGAGGCTAGAAAGTGATAAGAAATTTCTTCTAAACCTCTGATATTAATTATAAAATACTCACTAATATATTCGTGTATTGAGAGACAATAGCTTAACCCTCTAATTTATGAATACATTTTTAAATGTTTTGTAAGCAATATCGAAGGATTAGGGAAAAACAAAATGTTAGTTTTAACTTAACTTCTCAGGCTAACCCAATAAAAATTAATAATAATCATGCTTAAACTATAATTATTGATTAAATTTAAATTTAATATATAATTTTATATTAATTTTTATTGTGTTGAATACAAGGTTTGAAAATGTTGTATTAATAAAGAAAAATTTACTGTTTAAAATACGATATTTCATCTATAACCAGTATTGGGCTTGGTAGACGTGACTAATTCTTGTTCTTACATTATACTTGGGGTATATGGTGTTTTGTCTGCACTCCAAATCCAATACATGGTTTTTACTTAGGTTAAGTACTATTTTCTGTAAGGTTGAGTCAATCTAAGAAGGCGTCTATCAAACCATGGTTCTCACCTTAACAATCCAGTCATATGAAATATTGTCCCCTAATTTCATTTTTGATGAAGTCAACTCATAAAATCATTAATAAAATTTTCTTTAAATCATTGATCTGAAGTATTTACCTATAGAAAAAAAATTCAAAAATGCGTGATAATATGTCCACTGAGACTTTGAATCAAGATTTATGAATTAGTACTCAGTTAATGTATAATTGGAGACGGGGTGGCTGAATGGGCTAACGTGTGTGCACAGCACCGTGAGTTGCCTGGCAATCAGATAACCGAAGTTATGAGATTAAAAAAAGTAAGAGTTCTCGTCCCGATGCCAGAGGAGATCTTAAATTCCTCACCCTCAAAAAAACCCTCCGTCCCGAGAAAATCCCGTATAGCCTAAAAGGGGAGGTAGGGAAGAACAGAAAAAAAGAGGTTAATGTATAATTTGAATAAAAGTATTGTAGAAATGTTTTGATTACGGCAAACAGCTCAAAAAATTTAAATTGTTGACTCAATGTAAAATCTAAATCTATTAGCTTAAAAACAATGTCTTTCAATAAATAACATAATGATTGATGTAAGTGTACAATTTTTTTTTTAGCATATTGTCGTATGTTAAATTAAATTATTATTCGACTTAGTAAATTTTAATGAAAATAAGTAAGAAATTCAAAAGTTTTGAGAATTGAGTTAGGTGGTGGTTAGAATTTATGTGGTCGTATGTTTTAATATATTACCAATTAGTCCAGACAACAAGGAACTGCAGTCCACAGAGTCTTCTTTGATTACATGATAAAATTTTAGAAAATATTTAAAAGTATGAAATTTAGCTAACTACTCAGACACGAGCTTACTAGAACATTTATTGCATTTTTTTTCTTTTAGAAAGCTCATTTGACAGCTGAAGTGTCATTTATTGTACAAGATTTTTTTTTCATCATAAGCCGAACTTGGGTGAAGCTTATAATGCGGCCTGTGGAATTTAGACAATGTCACAATATGGCCCCTCGGTCCTAAAAGTTTGGAGACCCCTGTAATAGAATATGAAAAAAAAAATCTTTAGAAACTATAAGATATAAAGTCATTTTGCTTCCTCTCTACTGAACGTAAGGAAACTTTGTATTCATGGGAAGATTAAAAAAAATTGTATGCTCAGAATCGAAAATTTCCACTCAAGTTTTACGTTTCACACATGAAGGATCAAATTTGGTTTTGTGGGTGAGGATTTTAAAAGACGCCCTAGGCACCGGGACGTGAACTCGTGACAATATTTTATCATATCATATATCAGGTTGCCGGGCAACGGCGGTGCTGTGCACACACGTTAGCCCGTTCGGCCACCTCGCCCACTTGTGTCTGTCTGTCTGTAGTCAAATCAATGCGATGGGCATATCACCTACTACCTTTAATGCGATTTTTATAAAATTTTAGGAATAGATACCTAAATGGTCCCATATCAATTTCATCAAATTCCATTCAATACTTTTGGTTTACAATGTGTAAATGTATTTTCTTTAATGTACCCATTTTTCAAAAACGGTTTGTTCAATTTGGCTCAAACTTTGAAGCTATGTGGGTTCTGGTAAAACAATGATGCTGTATCATTTTGTTGAATTCCATTCACAACTTTCTCTTAAATTTGCACAAACGTATTTTCCTTGATACGCTTATATCTCAATAACCACTCGTTCGAATGAGCCCAAATTTGGAAGAAAGTTAGGGATTGATAAACAAATGATCAAGATAGTTTCAATTTCAACAAATTTGATCCACTACATTAAAAAAATACTGAAAATCTCGTTACTTCATTTTAGTAAACTTTACAATGAAAAAATATGAGCTTAATAACTACAAGTGTAATATTTTAAATATTCAAGGGTAGGTTAATAGGTTAAATACATAGATACACTTTCAAATCTATCTAGGCACACATAGGTAACTCAGAAACTGGAGTTTTGTGGTTTATAAAAACAGATGGATTTATGAAGTTTTTATTGCCTACCGTTGATACAATAAATAAGGTTTGTGTTATTTTAATTGCATCAATGATTTGTTACAAATTAGCTGTAAGGATTAAGGTTTCATCATGATTCCGAGCTTGACACTCCATTACTAAATCTTGACTGCCTCGAATTAAGGTTTAGCTCCATTAAAAATGCACTTAAAAAACTTTGTAATTGGCTCAACATTGCCAGAAAATAATTTCTATTTCGCTATGTATGAAGGACATCTGAACGGTGAATTTAAATCAATATCATAAATTAGAATCATATTTCATGAACTAAAAATAACTAAAGATGGTCAAGGATAGAAAGATGGTAATAACTGCCAACTGATTCAGTTCGGTTAGACATCGTTACCTGAGAGAGGTACTGAAGATGTGCAAAAACACCAAATTCTTCACACGTGCAAGATAAGGAGAGCTCACTTTGCGAATTTGATTATTTCAAAATTATTCTTCACCCAATACAACTGGTGAGGAAGCTATACTGACTTACTTGGCAGACTTTTTTTAAAAATTTCCAGATAAACCCCTTTTTAAGTCCTGTTCCCTGGACTAATTGGTAAATTAATTTTATCTGCATTTTTATAATTGAAATCTTTCTTTAAGTTGATACTGATATAACAACTATGACCTTCCAATATTTAGGGATGCGGTTATGGCTGTCAATTACACCATGCTGTATACTGCTTGCTGGTTGCATATGGCACACAACGCACACTGATCTTGAGGTCAAAGGGGTGGAGATACAACCGTGCTGGCTGGGAGCAGGTCTTTCGGCCAGTTTCAGATACTTGCACTGATTTCACAGGTCATGTACACAATTGGCCAGGTTTGTATATATCTTGAGAGGACTATAAGAAATATATATTAATAAATAATTCATTATATCATAAAAAATATGAAATAGTTGTTCTATTATGATTGAGATGGTTTGAATAATTGGAAAATCCTTTTTTGAGAATATGAAGTATTAAACCATAAATTAAAACATTGTTCCTTTCATCATTCAAATCCTTTCATCCTTTCATCAAGAAATTGATCAATTTAAAAAATATATATATATTCACATTACAATTTTCTTTTTCTATGGCTTTATAAATTTTGTAGGTTTTTCAAACCAGCTTTCTTCATCTCTGTTTATTTTGAGCTATTCCTATCCATTTGTCTGCATGCATTTCTCCAGTTTCTTTGTCGATTCAATCTATCAATCTGGTTTTTGGCCTTCCATGTTTCTTGCCTGATATTGAGTCATTCATTATTGTGTAGATGCTTCGTAATGGATGGAGCTCAGCTACAAGCTTATCCCATCTTAATCACTTTGCCTTTATATCATGAGATAATGGTTAACCAGTTTCTGTAAGCAGTTCTTTATTCTCCTCCATGTGTTAGTACTCTGAACCCAGATCACTCCAGTTATCATGCAGAGGATTTTTCTCTCAAATCTTTCAATACTTCTTTCTCGGATGCTGATTAGTGTCCAGGTCTCAGAGCTAATGTAAGAGCTGGTTTTATCATAGCATTTTAAGATTTCTACTTATTTTTGGGATTCCAATACCTTTTAAAGAGAGAAGAAAGCTCTGTTTGCGCTTGTTATATACTGGTATATTTCGGACGATTAGTCATTCATTAATGTTATTGTGAAGCAGAGGTATTTGAATTTGTGTAACTCTTGGGAATGATTTCCTTTCTATAAAGATCCTATTCCTATTTCTGTAATGGCATTTTCTGTTAACTGTAATACATTTGTTTTATGCTCATTTATTTGTAGATTTAATTTATCTTATTGATTATAATCTAAGAACCAGGGGAGGGAGACTATACTTTTGTTGTAAATTTTATTTTTATTAATTTACATACCATTAGCCTTCTGCCATAAGGGTGCATCCACCACGACAGATGGTTAAAGTTTTACCAAATTTCAAATGGTGCTTGCCTGGAAAACTGTATTTATAAGACTTATGATAGTTTTTGTATTTTATTTAGAATTATGATTTTAAGATTACTTCTAATTCCTGTCTATTCTTTTATTTATGCTTCATCAATGCTCAAAAAACCATGACTCTCTATAGGAATCGCTCAATTCTCATACAGATTTAGCAAGTCCTTAAACTTTGCTGAAGTTATTTGAATTTTGTTTTTTCAAACTGACTTAAGTTACAGGACCTTTCAACTTTGATTACGAAGTTTTGGTGAAACATTAATATTACTTAAGTTAGTCAGATTCTCTTTTGGCTTTCTTGTGCTTTCAATTCTCTATGTTCATCCCAAAATTCTGTTTTAAAGAACATAAAGTTTGTTCCACTTTTTATTAACTCTAGCAATATTTTTCCATTTCAAGGTGCTACATTTTTTTAAAACACTGTATTAGTTTAGGCTTTGAAGTTTAGAAAATGACTAATTTTATAATATTGATCAGGTCATTATTGAATAAATTTATGCTTATTCAATCAATTTTTCTATAGGTCCTTACATCAGAGCAGAATAGTGGCATACATGCATTTTTGTTTTGATTAAGTTATTTTATAAATTAAATGAATATTCCATGAACACTAAATACAAGTAAATATTATAGATAAATCCATAAAACCTCACATAATGTGCAACTTAACTTAATGAATGGAATGCACTGGCAAAATATTTCATAATAAACTAATTTGCCAATTTGTCCATATGGCTGAGGTGACTGAAATATTTTTAATATGGTACAAACAAAAAGTAATTACGGTTGAGAGTGCTGGGGAAGCATAATAGTTCTTTCAATTCAGAATCAGTAGCAATTCAAATTCAAATAAATGTTGACCACTGGCTGCATTAAGTTTCCCTGATCAAGTTGGTGGGATGGGCAGCGGGGTGGCCGAGTGGACTAATGTTTGTGCACAGCACCGCGTGTTGCCCAGCAACCTGAAAACTGAATTTAGACGGAAATATATTACGAGTTCAAATCCCGGTTCCCAGTGGGAATTTGAACTCCGCCTAATTCCCTGCCCCCTCCCCCAGACCGGTAAAAAAATCTGTGTAGCCTATAAGGCAAGGAAGGGTAAAAAAAAAAAAAAAAAGAGATCCAGTTGGTGGCATAAATAAATTATTAATTAAGTCATAGGGAAGGATTGTCTGCAAGCTAGCTGAATGATGCAGAAAATATAATTTAGAGTAGAACTGTATTAGTTTTTGCCTTATTGTGTTTATTCATAAAATAATTAAAATAGGTTCTACGATCTTGACTAGATAGTTTTAAATTATATTTAGAATTGTAATAGTTCTATTTAAACAAGTTTCTTCAATTTCTACTGCAATAAATATATAATTGAAGTATAATGGTAGACATCCCTTTTTATCAAATTATTATAATTTATCATTCGCCTAAAACTTTGTGAATAGCCTCATCTCATTGTAATGTACAACTTTTTTATTTATGAAGATTCTCGGAATGGGGTTGTTTTCAATCTGGATATCGGCAAACTTTGTTTGTTTAATTATGTACAAAAATTTATGAATACCCAATTGCTTTACCCTTGAATCATAAAATAATTTAATTAGAAAATCAAGAAAAAAGGTGCCCTACAAATTTTTTGGCTGTTGTGACCACTCCCAATATGTCAAAATAGCGAGGTTATTTAGACCAAACGGCCCAATATTTTTGCAGGCCACCTTTTTTTTTTTTTTATTTTGTGATCAAATTATCTTATAATTCAAGTGGAAAGCAAATGAGTATTTATGAGATTTTAGTACCCCGTTAAATTGATTAACTTAATGAGAAAATTTTCATAGATGAAAACTTGGTAAATCATGATAAGATTAAGCTATTCACAAAGTTTTAGATTGATGTTAATACTTTGATAAAAAGGGGTCTACACCCCCGGGTTCTGTAAGGGGATTGTAAGTATAGTTTCTTTTGATAAAAATGTGGAGCATAATGGCTTAATCGTTTATAGTTGATAAAAATGACTAATTATTAACACATTAAAATATTTAATTTTCACATTCATTATGCAAACTTTTTTCCTATTTAATAAAACTGTAGCACGGAATAGTTTATTGGATAAATATATATATATGTTTATTCTCTTATAATTAGTGTAATAATAACCTCATATTTCAAGCATAATATATTTTTCCTACTAATGTTTTTAATTTCATTTCAGGTCATCCAGATTCTGAAGTTATTCTGCTGGGTATTGTGGATTCAGTTTCACCACGTCCCCCTTACCTTCCACTTGCTGTTCCTAAAGATTTGGCTGAACGGATTAGTCGCCTTCATGGTGACCCTTCAGTCTGGTGGGTTGGACAGTTTCTAAAGTATCTTCTGCGGCCTCAGCCAAATACTGTCAATATGTTGAAGGATGCTGCTTCCAAGTTTAATTTTCAAAGGCCAATTGTTGGGTATAATAATCTTCATAGATTTTTATATTTTGATTATTTTGTTTTAAAAAAAAATATGAAGTTTTGGTGTTAAAATGTAGAAATGTGCCAATCTGATACTAACTACTGACTTTATCTGTTTTCTGGTCCTATTTCTGACACTTTATCTTACTTTATTTAATGTTAATTAAAAAAAACAAAATTGTATACAGTCAGTTTTTGACTTAAAACCATTTGGACTTATGACAAAAAAGAGAGAATTTTTTTTTTTGTTGTCAGTTGCGTGCTCCGAGCACAGAACAAGAGGATATGGTTGATTTCCTCTAACATCCCAATAATCCAGTCAATTCCGGCAGCTTATGTCCTGTCAGTCACTCACTATATGGGTTTAAGTGTGGTTGTCGTTTACTGGTACCTCAAGTTTTCTTGTGTTCATATGATGCTTATTTCTGTTTTTTTACGCACCAAATTGCTAGTAAAAACTATTAAAATAAGAAAAAGACAATAGACTTAGACATCTAAAAGTAAAATAATAAAACAGTACGAGAATGGAAAACTGTTTCAGAAATATCAACAGAAAGAAAAACAAAGGAACAAACAACAGAATTTTAAGAAAAGAACAATCGTTAACATTAAACAATAATTTGATCATATAAAGGTACCTATTTAAAAATTTGTTGGTTTAACGATGACTACTTTAGTCTGTTAACTATCAATTTCTAATAAAATTAAAGTAAATTTGCTAGTAAGATGCATTTAAAGTAGCCTAATCAAGGAAAAAATGAATAACTAAATTTTGGTAGTGTATTTTTGACAGGAGGTTATGGAGGATCTGCTGTCTCTAATTTTAATGAAACTTTTTTTGGTGATTCTAGGTTAAAAAATATTAGATCTATGTCTGAAGATTCTTGTCAATGTGTCATAACTTTTCAGAACTTTCTCTTAATTCAATATTACTTAAACTAGTGCAAAGCTGAATTATTGCTCTCCAAAACCAGATACAAGATGGGCCAGACTCCGTTACTGTGAACTTCTCCTCACATCCCAATTAATTGCATATCGTTGTGTTCTTTGCAACTATTTATTAAAAAAAAGGCAATTTTTCCCACAAAAAAAGGTGAACACACTGTCCCAAAATGGCTTCCAGACATAGCGGATTGACGACTTTGACTTGAGTTAGTTTTTCGGTCACTGAGATTCAGCATTTGGCTTAATATCATCATAATTGGCCTTTTATTAAAGCTGGATATTCAGAAAATAATAAAACATGAAAAAATATAAAAAAATAATTTGCCTTGGTTATAAAAAGACCAGTAAAGTCAATTTTAAGTTGTTCAAATTATAGTTGAAAATCAAGTGCGTTTGTTATTTAACAGCCAGCAATAACGAAAAACGCCCTAAAATTAAACCTCTAAACATTGCTAAATCAGTGATTAATTTTTAAAATATTTGAAGCAGTTCTGTAGAAAATACACTTAACTGGCAGAAAAGCGATACTGCCGAAAGCGTCTACTGTCTTCTTGTCTCATCATTCAGTACTCATAACTGGCATAATTACAGTGTTTTAATAAAATTTCTGATCTATTATTCTGATTGTTTTAAAGGAAAAATATTAATGCAATAATTATATATATATATATATATATTATATATATATATATATATATATATATATATATATATATATATATATATATATATATATATAAAATCGAGCTAGAATAACTTGAGTACTCTATTGTGAAATAAACTTGTTTTTATTTCACTAAAACTTTGAACAGAGATTTTCAGAACTTTACACTTTTTTGACTTTCTATAACAATAACAATTATTCACATATGCCTATTTGTACAATATGTGAAAATTTTAAATATTTATAACATAAATATTACTTTTGATTCCCTAACATCCCCCCAACCTGAGGAGTTTTGAATTGTTTCATACAATTCAAAAGTAGTAGGGAAACATAACTGAAGGAACTCTCTTCAATCTTTAAATCCTAGAATTCCTTTTTTCTTTTTCTTCTCTTTTATGAATGCTTATTTTTCTTAGAATTAACTTTTTTGGTCCATTCTGTTTCATACGAAGATGGCTCACTGTCATTTGTAGCAGTTTTCTCTATGAAAATTGGTTTGGTTGGAGTGAGGGGCCATACATTAGTTCTGGAGCATCAGCCGTATCAGCATCTGATGAATTTTTAATATCATTTATATTTTGAATTTTAATCCCATCATTTTTATTATTCTTCTCTTTTCGTATCCTTTGAGCCAATTTTTTAGGTTGACTATTTTTCAAAGTATCGTTAGCTTTTATCCTTATAAAGCCAAGATATCTTTCATATCTCACTTGTTTAGTAGGAACACCAATGAATGGTCTAAAATTTAACTCATCAGAAGTTTTGTCTTCTTCATTCTGTATTTCTTCATTGAGATCAGTTTCGACATCTTTTCGATGGTAAGACAATGATTCTCCTAAAATGATCGCTCCATCAGATTAATTGACTATATCTTCTCCTCTCACTGTCTGGACATTTCCAACAACTTCGGGACCAAACCCTAATTTTCTTTGAGTAATATTTGGATCAAAGTCAGGTTGTAGTTGATAAGGTGGATAATATTTCTTTCCGTAACTTTGGATTTTAGCTGGTATATGGCCTTGCATGCCATTGTGATTTTCAGTAACTACGAGCAGTTCATGTTCTTTTTGTCTTTCTTTCCTCCTAGAAATCTTCAAACTAGCACAGGCTTTTTAAAAAAAACGTCATATCTGGGTATATTCTTTTTAACATTAATATTAATATCTTCATCATTAAATGTTCCAATGCTATCTTCGTTAGCATCATCTTTAGCACATTTGTCTTCATCTTTATCCTTAAATCTTTTAATGCTGTCTTCCTTAGAATCACTGTTACTATACATGTCTTCATCTTCGTCCTTAAATCTTTTAATGCTATCTTCCTTAGCATCACCTTTACCATACATGTCTTCATCTTCATCCTCAAATGTTGTAATGCTATCGTCATTAGCATTATCTTTAGCACATATGTTTTCCTCTTCATCATCCAATGTTCCGACACCAAAAACCTGGTCATGGATTGATGTTGTCTTTTTATTTTCAGAAACCCTTCAAAGGAGTTTCAAACAAACCAATCTTATTTTGTCAGAACCCAAATTAACACAATGATCATTATTTCTAATAGAAATTTTACCACCTTTAACGACGTTCTGGTAGTTAATTTTATAATTTCATACCTTTTCCTGATTCCATTGGCCTCTTCCAATTCTGACATTAGTTCTTCTTCGGATACATAATTTTCTATTGATAGATCAAATATTTCGTTTTCAAGCGATTCTAAAATCACTGACTTCTTCCTCAGAAACTCTGAGTAAGCAGATATTTCTTCCAAATTAGGAATATCACAATTTAGCAACTGCTCTAATTCATTTGCATACCTTGTAAAGAAAGTGCGGCAAATCCTTCTCTGCGTCTTCTTATTTTACATTTTGAATCCAGTCAAACTAAAAAATGGAGTACTCAACAGTCCTGTCACGGTCACCACTTATGTTCGGGTTAGGTAATCAAATATATAACTAACCGTTATAACTTATCCCTAGGTTCGAGCTAGAATAACTTGAGTACTCTATTTTGAAATAAACTTGTTTTTATTTCATTAAAACTTTAAACAGAGATTTTCAGAACTTTACACTTTTTTGACTTTTTATAACAATAACAATTATTCACATATGCCTATTTGTAGAATATGTGAACATTTTAAATATTTATAACATAAATATTAGTTTTGATTCCCTAACATATATATTTATATATATAAACGACTTTATTACAACACTTTAAGATCATATATCACAACTTAAAAATTTATAATTATTTTTTTTTTTGTTACTTTTTCCTATATTCTATAATGAAGCCATTTAAAGGCAGCCTATATTGTAAAAAATCTGGTGCGTGCATCACATAATTTTCACTTACCGCTCAACTGTGAAAAGCAATTCCTGACAAAATTCGGGCTATTTTTAATGAACCTTAATCTTAAACAACACATTTTTGAATTTCGGTCATATTCATGAAGGTCATACCCATTAAGACCATCAAAATAACATGAACCCTATTTATTATATCAATTGTAAATAATAAAACCCTTATAACTTCATCAGTCTATTTGAATCACACAATTCATATCTCTGAGTTCTATAGACTAAGAGAGATTTAAAATATACCGAATTATTTAAATATAATATCGGATCTGGAATTATTAAACTACAGTAAATGTATTTAAGGTTATAAACATATGTTTCACACATCCATGAAATATTTTTATATTTCACTTTTTCTTATACACAAGTACAAGGAATTAGCTTTTAAACAATGTCATTGCCATGATTTGGTGGATTTAAAATAATTTTTCAAACTTTAAAACAAATTTAAAAGTTCAGAAATTATTATTTATAATTTTTCTATCTCTCCCCATTGCCTTTTATGACTTTGTATGTTAGATATTGTTTTTTCTAAAATTCTCAGCTTTCCAACGCTATATTGTACGTATACATTCAGTCTGTTATTTCTGGAAACTCATTTTCAACCTTAAAAAACATTTTTCCTTTTTTATTTTTTTGTCATTTACCGAATTCTTTCATACTTTATATTTAGCCATTTTTTGTTGTTACTATCAATTAGAAAGAGATAATTTAAAAAAAAAGAGAGAGATACTTAATTATTTAAAGTAAACCAAATTAAAGATATTTTAGAGGAAGAAATATTGAGCATTGAACATTTAAGCTCTGTAAGGCGACATCAATGTCAATAAGACCTAGTTTATATTAAAGACCACTTAATAATACACTGATATACCGAGTTTAATCAAAATCGTTAGAGGTGTTTTCGAGAAAATCGTAAAAATGTGTTAAATTGGTGATGTAAAGTGCCACTTCCAGTTTGCCAATAATGACGAAAAAGTTGCTGTTCACGTACTCACACATATACAGACACACAGACTATTTTGCGAGACTAAGTTATTTGGACTCCGGGGACTTCATAATGTGTATTTTTGTTGAAAACTTTAAATTAAAAAATTGTCACGATCACAATACTTTTCCTTATATAAAATTCCAAATTTTTTTCTCTAAATATTGATTAAGATTACATGCAGAAAACCTGATGTGTTGTTCCACTTTGAAATAAGAATAATCATCTTTTAGGATTGTAGAGTTGACACTTTGTTTTGGACTCATTCACTTGCAATTTAATTTTAGTGGCTTCTTTTTGAAATTTAGAAAGGCGCTTTCCAATGTCAGAAAACTGTGTCCAACGACATCCAAATCATCGGTAAAAATTAGAATTTGGCCCTATTTATTGAAAATTGTTTCTTCTATCTGCATTCCTGACTCTCTTATGGCACATATTAAAGAAATATTAAACATTAGGCTGCTAAACAATCACCTTATCTGAATCACTTGTCGTTATTGAATAATTCAGATGTGTCATTTTTACATGGCGGACTAGCTTCAGACGGATGCTGAGAACAATAATCTTTCATCATATAGCTTCTGTCGAGGTGTTCTATGATTTATACAGTCACAGAAGGCCTCGTCAGAGCATGTTCAAATTTGGGTTATATGACTTAGTGGATGAAGGAAGAGGATAAGACAAATTATTAAAAAAAAATTAAAAGCTAAGAGGTGATGTTTCTGGATATTATACTTAGCTGCTCTCTCTATCATCATTATCATTGTTGCTTTGCCCTTCATAAAGTCTGCTTGATATTGGATTTTTGTGATATTTAAAATTTTTTTTTTTATTAGTTACCTAAATTAATTGAATTATAAATTCAATCACTGATTAATTGCCTTAATGTAAATTGGTAATGATAATCAGCCTATAGTTAACTCCAAATAATATAAGGGTATTTTATTGAGCATTAATGATAGGCAGATTCACGTTATGGTTAGTGATATCAAAGAAGATAATAGTGTTTGATGTCTTAAGGATGCTGATAAAGAATTTTCATTCAATTTTTTTTTTTTTATACCTAAGCATCCTTTTTTCTATAACTACTAAGAGTGATTTGACCTAGGAATAGCTTATTTAGTTTTCTAGGTACCTTATTGAGAACTTAGTATGAGTTTTCTATTTGTGTTGGTCACTTTTTATGTTCTAATTCAGTATGGCGATTTAATTTTAGTATATTTATGTGAATACACAATTTTGTTTTTAGATTAATTATGAATCAGTGAACATCAATAACTATTATTGATATAAATATTTGATATTTCTTAGGGTACACATTCGTCGAACTGACAAAGTGGGCACAGAGGCTGCTTTTCATCCTGTGGATGAGTATATGGAGCACGTGGAAGAGTACTACAAACAATTGGACCTTTCTAAGCAAGTAACTACCAAGCGAATATATCTTGCATCAGATGACTACAAAGTTTTTGCAGAAATTAAGAATAAGTAAAAAAATTTTTTCCTTATTTCTCATTAAACAATAAGTTTGTTTTAGACGTTATGTGAAAATCCTATTATAAATTGAGAAATTTATCTCTTTACTCTTTTCACCTAAGTATTTATAAGTGTATGCGACCGAATTAGGTAGCATAGTTATTCTGAAGACATAACACATCTCTTGTACTAATATTTTACCTTCCTTATTTGAAGGTGGAATGAGTCATTAAGAAAAAATTGTGCAGGGAAACGTTTAATGGTCTTTTCGAGTGAAAATAGGAAGCTGTTAAATTGAATATAAATAACATTGTGTGAAATTCATGTTGATCTAATTTTTTATAAAGTTGTTGAATTGATAATAACAAATAGATAAGCTTAATTCCTGGGATAGAAAATTCAAAACTTAGTTAATTGCTAATGATCAAAGTAATATATCAGTAATATAGTAACAGTAGAACATTCAACTAAATGAGAAAAATGTATTTTTCATTTGGTGTTCATTACTGTGGGATTGTAAGCAATAAAAGAAGTTTCTGGCCCTGGTTCAGTATCACATTCGTATTGATCATTGTTATTACTTTCGTCCCTGTAAGGTACGATTTTTAAATAAATTTTATTATTTTAAGATGTGAAAAGGAATTCTGATAAACTTTATTTAGAACTTATTCATTTATTTAGAAGTAATCGGGAATTATTCACAGATGATTGGTAATATTTTTTTTTCCTTATCCGCCTTATAGGTTATATGAGTATTTTCCTGGGTCAGGGATATAAGCCCCCATAGTATCGGAATGTGAAATCGTAATTAATTTATAACTTGTAAACTTCTGTTAATTCATGTGGTTTGTTTGTCAGGTACACATGTTTTGTGCATAAGTTAGTCCACTCTGTCACCCAGCCCCCTCATGGTTGGTGATATGTTAGAGAACCAGTATGTAACATCCTTATAAATATTTATTAACAATCGTTGTTACGTATATCATCATTTCTGAGTCCTATCCTCATCATCATCAGAAAACACATCCTCTTGGCTATTTATTCTTGCATGTATCACTTTTATAGTCATTTATTCGTATAAGTTAAAACATTATTTTATGTATTAGTGTTCATTTATCATTATCTTGTCACAAACTGAGATGAGTGAGAGAAACCTGATGAATTATGTTAAATTAAGAAAAGATTTATTTCGTCATTTATCTGAAACTAATCTATTGATGGCTTTTTGTTCAGCTCTTGTTGATAAAATGTGGTAATTATTTTAATAAATAAATAAATAATCTAATTATTTCAATCACTGAGTTGATGATAAAAATATTTATGTTTAAAATTTGTGTTCAATTTTTCCAATCTGCAGTTATCCTAATGTTAGCTCTAGTGTTTGTGTCTTTCCTACTAATTCACAGAACTAAAATCATTAAAAAAAAAAAGAAATTTACTTCACATTAAGAAATAGAGTATTTTTTCAACAGTAGTTCTCTCCCAGGTACTAACTACTTTGTGCTGAAAAGCGAAATTTATAAAACACAGTAGGCGTACAATGGTTTTGCTATTAGCCAATACTATACTATCGGTATGGTATATTGTTCAATAAGTTGTTGTTTAGATTTTCAATCTTTTCGTATGTTTACAATCTTTTCTTTTTCCTTTTATGGTTGAATCATTTCTATTTTCATCCTTTTTAATTTAAAAAAATCAACACAATTTGTTTTTTAATTGTAAAAATGTTTGTTTCATCTCTTACATACTTCTAATTCTGAAGGAAGGGTGATTTACCTATAAAGGTATTACTAAACTATTCTAGTTAAAGTGAGGTCGAGATTTCTAGGTTCTAAAGGTTTTTGTCTGAAATAAAAGTCAATTGTCCTAAGTCAGATTTAAATCATCAATACTTTTGAACTGTCTGAATACACTTGATCACCATGTTTTAATTTTAAAAAGTTCATATTAGTTATCTATCTAAATGGCTCATGTACACATGTTACTAATAATACATTAAGTTAATTATAAATTGTGACTTATAATTAAGGACTTATAACCAGTAATATGTCTGATTCCTGCTATTATACAAGTAATAATGTTTCCAAGATAAGTCTGTTATGAAAAAAAAATGATCCTAAACATGCTTCATTGAACACCATCAAAATGATGCTTATACTGCCAAAGCTACACAACTAAATGCGGAGAGAAAGTAAAGAAAGAAAGACTTCATTTTAATGTTTATGTAAAATTTCTTTTTAGAAATGTTTGAAAATTCACTGTAAATCTATTCACAGCTTGGAAGACACTGCCTTGCTTGCTTAGATGGAAATGTTTTGTTTTAGATATCCAGACTATGAGATTCTTGGAGATCCACAGATCGCAAAGACTGCGGCTGTATCCACTCGTTATTCAGATGGTGCATTAAATGGTTTGATACAGGATCTTTATTTCCTCTCCCAATCTGACTATCTCGTTTGCACATTTTCTTCTCAGGTATTAAATAAATCATATTGCTTATTTTATAGTATATTATAAAACATAAATAATTTTGTTGCTATAATTATTTTTATTAACATATCCTAAGTAAAATTGTTTGTTAGTTATTGGACTTATTTTATTCAATTTAATTTTTCTTATGTTAAAGGTATTTTTTTTTTCTTTGCACTTTTACATAACTAGCGAAATTTGGCTTGAAAATGGGTTTAATAAACAAATTTACTTTTATTATGGACGCCATCTTGGACTTTGTACCCACTAAGTTTACTCTTTGTGTGCTCATTCAATTTAGTTCATGAAAACTGTGTCAAATGTGTAGCTATGGAACAGTTCAAAGTGGTAGTATAAAGTTTTTCTCGGCTGAAAATGGTTGAATTGTCGACCACTCAGAATCAGGAAGTCCTGGTTAGCGAATCAGACAAAATAATGCTACTGCTAATAATTGGGAGCTCATGACGGGTCGAAAGCGACAGTCAACTTTAGAGGACCTCACAAAAAAAAGCCAAAAAAAGCCATGTTAACGTCCAAACCTATAACCATTAAGAATCATTAAGGTGTACAAATAATGAATAGCAAACAAACCAGCTATCAGCCAAACAGGTATGGCCACCGCCTATTTACATAAATGGGGTCTCCAACTACACTGCCATATCTCATTCCATAATGAAGCCGGCCACAACTCCTTCAAACTCAAAAATAACATCAGGGGCATTACAGTACAACACCTTATATATTCAGAAAGTTTTTATCCAGCCTGTGGAGTAATGGAGCAAAATTCTACTCATACCTACTCCTTGAAGACAAAATGCCAAGAGTTATAATAAAAGGATTATGCAATGCCACACCACCCTCAATTATCAGAGAAGAGTTAATACATGGTTATGAGGTAGACAACATAACTAATGCTATCTCAAGATTCTAAGAACTACTACCCATGTTCTTTGTAGACATTATTAAGGACACCCAATGAGCAGATCTTCAACGTTAACACAAGAATTAACACCTGATATGCAAGCTACTGGCATTACATTATTTACCAAGCATAATATCAGTAACTTTGGTGGAATCTGTTTTCCCCGAAGTATATGCTAACGTCTGCCATGTTTTGTAGCTTCTTTCAATACATAGGAAACTGTTTTATGGTTGAAGGAGACTACAATGCAAAACACAAGTTCCGGGAGTTTCAACTGTCTACTATAAGGGGGAAGAATCTTAGGACAGCCCTCCACAAGCTTTCACTGAACACAATAATACCAAACTCTCCTACTTACTGGCCCACATATTGACATAAAACACCTGATTTATTGGACTTTTTTTATCATCAAAGGACTTAGAACTTTATAATACACTGTCAATACTAGCTCTGACCTTTGCTGTGATCATTCTGTTATGAGCCTATTGCTACAGGGCAAGCTCTGTTAGGCATTAAGACTACCATCTCTTATTAATGGGACAATGGACAGGGATACCTGCAGGAAGATCCTGGATTCCATTCTATCACCATATCAATTAAAAACAGGAAGAGTAAGAGGAAGCATTAGACACCTCCATGTAGAGCGTCCAAAAAGCAGCTTGGTCATGTTCAGTTCCTATACCTAAAAAATCAGACAATCTACTAAATTATGCACAAGATATAAGTTATCTGAACAGAGCCAAAATAAAAGCCTGAAAAGTTTGGCAGACAAACAGATGAACATTTAATAAACTTAACAATCAATTAAAACGACAAATAGAAAAATTTAATCAAGAAAAATATGAAACATACATTAACAACCTTTCAACAAACGATGGAAGCCTTTGGAGACACACCAAAAAGTTTCTAAGGCATCAGGAGGTGTCAGAACTACTTCGTAAAGATGGTGGTTCCTGGGCTGCGTCGAAGTAGAAAAATCAAAACTCTTTGCTTGACCACCTTTCTTCCGTTTTTACACCTCATTCCAATCTCTCAAACACGGAACATGACAATTTGTGTTAAACTCCCTAGACATTCCATTATAATTATTCCTGTCTCCTTCTTCCTTCTCTCCATCTCATGTTGCTGAACAAATTAAGTTATTACAAAGAAAGAAAACTCGTGGCTATGACTTAATTAATGCCAAAGTACTCCAGCAAATGCTCAGGAAAGCTCTAATGCTTTTAACTTCCATTTATAATGGCATACTGAGAACTGCCAAATTCCTCATTCAATGGAAGTACTCCTACATAACAATGGTACATAAGCATGGAAAAGAACTTTATTTCCTTCATCATACAGATCTATCAGTTTGCTTCTTTTATGTGCCAACATTTTTGAAAAGTTGCTGTACAAAAGACCATTTATTATTACCATATGAACAAACCAAAAAATTCAACAGGATCATCAATTTCAATTTCCTTTCCTACATTCTGCTACTCAACTCTTACACAGAATTACATATTACATATCAATTACACAAGAGCAAAATATGCATTCCACTGTTGTATTCCAGGATGTTGCAGAGGCATTTGATAGAGTCTGGCACCAGGAAGTTCTCTTCAAACTCAAAACAATACTTCCTTCCGCATACTACCTGATCCTACAATCATTTCTCCATCCAACAAGGTTCACAAATCTCATCTATCAAACCAATCATGGAATGCCTCAAGGGTCAATTCTTGCACCATTGTCTTATATAACATACACACATGACATACCTGTCACCAACAACACTTTGACAGCCACTTATGCAGATGATACCACCATTATTTCGAGGCACAAAGATCCGACATGTGCCTCTCACATTTTACAACTTACAACTTACCTCTCATATTTTACAATACACCACAAATCTGACCACACATTTTCTCTCTGACACGAGACCCGTCTACCAGTCTATCTTGATAATGAACACATCTCTCAGTCTGATAAAGTACATTATCTTGGACTAACTTATGACTGAAGGATGACATGGGGTCCACAGTTCACAGGAAAATGGAAAACTCTGAATCAGAGATTCAGAATACTGTACTCTCTGTTAGGATGCCGCTCAAAGCTAGATCTAAGACAAAACACATATAAATATCTCCTAAAACCAATTTGGACATATGCCTCACAAATATATGGAATCGCCAAAAAAGATGTAAAAACTTATGAATATTTCAAGCCAAAACGTTTTGAACAATCACACTATCTCCTTGATACGTCTGCAATATTACTCTCCACAAAGATTTAAGAATGCCAACTGTCAACGAACACATACGGATCTACTACAAAAGGTTTTACCAAAAGCTTTAAGTTCACATCAATAGACTAATTCATGACAGCCAAGAAAAATATGCCCAATTACATCCAAAAAAGGCTGAGGAGGAGCTGGACGAGTGATCTCCTTGAGTAATAAGATGGAGGACTGAAGATAAGCCGCTGGGTGATTCTCTTCCTCTTGTCTATCATGCCCTGTTTATTCCATAGTACTTGATTACTGTAATTATATTCGCCAGTTGTCGGTGAACACTGACATTTGTGAATTAAGCAATAAAGAGAAAAAAAAAAATGTTATGTTGATTCGTTGATGTTTGGTAGCTTTTCTGAACTTATTTATGAATTCAGCCTACTGACAGGTACTATGTATTGAAACATTAATTTGAATTTAATAAAATTCAAATATTTTATTTGAAGGTTTGCCGAGTTGCCTACGAGATAATGCAATCACTTCACCCCGATGCATCAACTCGCTTTAGATCTTTGGATGATATCTACTATTATGGAGGCCAAGGAATTCATAGGTAAGAGTTTTTAATAAAATTTTCTATTTGTTTTCCAATCTATTTTGAGAAGGGCAACTCAGTGGTAAACACTGGAGTCCTTATTCTCAGGCCTTAGTTCGAATCTAGTTGTGGATTCGACTCTGGGACTGGAAGGCTCTGCAGGGGCACACTCAGATGTATAAATTTTGTGCACCATCGCATTTGGAGAAAAACACGAAGATTGAGCACGATCTTGGCCACATCATATTATTATATGAAACTGTTGCTAAAATAACTACCTCCTTATCAAGTACTGAACATAAGACCCTTAAAGAATTGAAGTGGTCTTTTCTAAAAAACATAATTTTTTATTTTATTATCATCTGTTACTAAGTATATTACTGTACGTTATTTTTCATAGAACCTTTCTGAAGAAAAAATGTAATATTTTGAAAAATCTTTTATCTATATTTTTAACCGATTTAAAAAAGAATACCTTTAGCGTTAGTTTGATACTTTAAATATGATAAAAAAAAATGAATAAATAGCAGAAATGTTAGTTGACAATAAGATGTATCTAGTTCTTTTTTAGTTGTCAGTGAAAGTTAAAGAGAGAGTTAAAGTTTTATTAATTAACAATAATTAAACATAAACAAAATACTGTATCATCATAATATATTGATATCTTATCTAATAGCAAGAATTGTTTAACAGTCCTTTACTACATTGTTTTAAATAACCCACACAATCAGTGTTGCCGTGCGCTCTGTGACAAATCCTCGTACTTGAGCCTCGTACATCCCCATACGCTTGCTCATTCATAATTCGTACTATTGTAAGACCAGTGTAATTGTTATTTTATAGTAAAATTAGATCAGAAGAGCTTTTTATTTTTACCTCTATTCATATATTTTAAAGCCTTTTTATATATTTCTTTTTTTTAAGTTAATGGGTCAAGAAGTAAAATTAGCTTAGTAAAATATGTATATAAAAAAGTTTATATATTGTTAAAAACTACTGGAAACTTAATATAAGAATTCAAACAGCATAATAAACTTCTTAAAGTACTGTTCATTAGTATCCATGAGTAGATGCAAGATTTAATTTGGGAGGGGGTTGGAGACTCATTTTTTTCAATATCTTTTTTCAAAAAACAAAACAACTACTTTTATGAAAAGATGTTAGTGGTTCTGGAAGACTAAAAAAAAGTAATTATTGGAACATTAATGCTTTTAGAGATATCCATTATAATATAAAAAATGAATAAATTGTGATTGTTTCAGTATTTAGCTTACGATTAGATCTCGCACAAAACAAATGTGGACCACTAAAAAAATACTTTTTTTCTATTATTTAAGATGGGTTCATTATGAATACTAGTTAATTTTTCAATTAATAACTTTACTCGATTAAAAATCGAAAATATTTTTTTCAAAATTACAGTAACAATTAAAAAAAAAATTGCAGTTTTATTAAGGAAATAATAATTACAAAGGAAATAATAGATATACTTTCTCGTATTTTATTTTATGCTCGATACCAATTCTTTTTTTAATTTCTTTTACATTATATTTTAAAAATATATATTTACAAAAAAAGTTTTATGAAGGAAATAATGGATATAGTTTCTTATATTCGATATATTTTTTTTTAAGTTTTGCTTTCTAGAAAATTAATAAAAAAACATATGTATATGTACAATCATGGTTTTATGAAGGAAATAATAATCATACTCTAATTAAAGAAGATGTAATTACAATTTATTTGTTTAGAAAGCAACAGAAGTTCTTTAAAAAATTGTATCGAATATAAGAAACTATATCCATTATTTCCTTCATAAAACTTTTTTTGTAAATATATATTTTTTAAAATATGTTGTAAAAGAAAAATAAAAAGAAATTTTTATCAAGCATAAAATAAAATACGAGAAAGTATATCTAATGTTTCATATCAATATAAACAATAATACAGTAAAAATAATTGTAAAACAATTATAAACTTCATTCATAAATATATAACCTTACATAAGTCAGCAAAAATTATGTACGAGGTACGAGGCTGGTCGATCCTTGTATCTCGTACATTAAGTCATAACCTCGTACAAATACGAGGATCCTCATAAAAACGGCAACGCTGCTCACAATAAGGCATTACCATATGATATTTAAAATGTTTATAAATCATATGATATTCTATTAAAATTCACAATTTGACCCCTCCACTGGTTGGAAACTTTTATTCAAGAGATAAAAGAGCAAAGAACCAACTTGCTCCTTAAATTGGAGGCTTTGAAAAATATATGAGGGTCCCTGAGTTCTAATGGCCTTGTATAGAAAGGTGGCAAGGAAGTACTGAAAACCGTAGGATGGATAGAGCCACTTCAACTCTTTGTAATACTGGCTATTAGGCCATTCGGCTCCTAGATGCCTAACACAACTCTGCCATGATTCCTTTGTTTAAATTTATGCCGATCCCATCAGAATTTCTGCAGACATCTGACAGAGCAGGGCAAACTGAGAAGTGCAGGTCGTACATCTCTTTCCATCACTCCAATCCTATGTAAATGCCTTTGCAGATAATCGTGCCCTGTTGCCATCTGGAAATTCGCTACCGATTCTTTCCTATTTTTTGTTTGTTTCATCGGCTCCTCTGTTAAAGATTCCTATGAATTTAGAATATTATATTGATCTAAAATTATTTGAACACATTCTTTAGAAATTGATTCTATTAATGCAATAAAATCATTTGTGATCTATCTTTTGGCATTAAAATCCAAATATCTCTCATAAAATGGTCCAATAATAAATGCATGTATTTGTATTCTGATTTATTTCCACCAAAAGCTCCCATTGTATCAATAGTCATCATTTCAAATGCAATTGCCTGCTCCTAATTTTGTCAATATCCCTATCAGTTGTCCTAATTGAGATTTATTTTACATATATTTCTGGTATTACTTGTAATACTAAAATAACATAAAATCCATAGTTTTGAAATAAAAACCGGACCATGGTTTTTCAGATATTTACTTACTTTCAATATGACCTTAAAATTGATGAATCTCATCAATTAAATACAAGTTCAACTCCTGTTATATAGTTGTTTAAACGTCATCTCACCATCTGTAATAATATTTTTTTCTTTTTCCACTTTATGAGCTTCTCAATCTTTCATTATATCTTTGATGAGTGTAATATTAACTACTTTTAGACAATTGTCTTCATTTTGAAAATTTTCCACAAATAGTTTTATGAATAAAGTATCACCTTCCACGTTATCTTTTCCTTCCTTTATTTATATTGCAACTATTTATTTATACAATTATTTATTTTTATTGTTAATATTAAATTATTTTCATTTCATATTTTATACAATTAAAATTCACCATATTTATCATTGAAGTTATCTTGAGTTTGTGATAATACCGTATTGAGAAGATGATAATGTGAATGTATATTTATTTTTCAATATTTCAAAATTTCTTTATAATTTTACTAATATCTATATACATTATTATCTTCTTCTTCTTTCTCTACCTCCTTTGTGCCTTTCAGCGTGGAGATGCCTCGATCCATGCATACCAAGCATCTTGGTCCCGAGCTAGAGCCCTCATATCCCCTATCCTCATACCTCTTTTCTGCCCGATCTGGGAGATGTACTCCATCCACGACAATCTGGGTCTTCCTCTTGGGCGCTTTCCTACAGGTCTCGCCTCCATGAATTTTCGTGGGTCCCGGTCTTCATTCATTCGGCATACATGCCCGAACCATCTCAGCTGCCTCTTTTCTATAGAATTCTTTAGTGAGACAGTGCCTAGGTCGTCTCTTGTTTTTTCATTCCTGATCCGGTCTCTCCTGGTTCTGCCGGCTACCCTTCGAAGATATTTCATTTCACTAGCAGTAACTCTGCTAAGGTGTTTGGTTAATGGGACCCAACTTTCACTCCCATATATAAGGGTTGGTAGATATACCGCTTTAAAAATATGCATTTTTACATTCCTCTCTACCTCCCTTTTCCCAATGACTGTATTGCATAAGCTGTAATACACATCATTGGCCTTTTTAATCCTGTTGGAAATTTCATAGTCAACCCTTCCGTTCTTGTTTATTACTGCACCTAGATATGTGAAGTCCTCCACCATTTCGAGTACCTCTCCTTTTGCAATAAATTTCAACCACCTCCTGATCCCGTTCAATCTGTATTACTTTGCTCTTTCCGACATTAATTGCCATACCCTTTCTTGCTAATTCAGCCTCCCATTCGATCACCGCTTGCTGTAGATTTTCCTTTGAGTCTGATATGAGAACGATGTCATCTGCAAAGACCATTCATTACTTGCGTCAATATCGTCCTCATGTTCCATTTTCCTACAACTGTTCGCGCTATGTACATGATACATTATTATCACTGTTCTAAATTACTTAAATAAGTTGCTTTGATTTACCTTTTCCTTAAACTTCAACTTTTTTTTCAACATTTTCGAGTTGGCTTTTTCTCTGGGCCATTTTTGAGCATGTGAAATGATATCCTCATTTTAGAAAACTAAGATTATTTATCAAATTTTCATCATTTATTGTTTAATTTATTTTATAATTTATAAGAATACTTTTTAAAATTTTTTTTTTTTTTTTATGTGATAACCATTACAAATATAGTATACTTCATCTTTTGCATCACCCTGTTGTACTTATCAGCGTGTTTAGCCAGGATTGCCACTGTTTTCTGTTTCTTGCCAGGTTGTTGGTTGGATGTAGATCCTTTCCTCTCCTTTTGTACTTAATGTCGACATATTCCAGGTATGGCATCCTTGGTTGGCTTCTAGATTTTCTACTGTCAGGCACAGATGGGCAAATGCTACTCTGAATATCAAGAACCATGTATTTTACTCTAATTGAATCACTATTGGGAATTCAATCACTATCTACCTATCTATGTGGCGCTTCAACCCTGGGTGGGCCTTGGCCTCCTCAATGAGCTGCCGCCATTCGGCCCGATTTTGTTCTGCTGCTTTTCAGTTTCTGATCTGTAGCAGGCTCCGGATATAGCAAGCTCATAAAGCTCTTTCCTTCTTTCCTCCTAATCCTCCATTCATCTCTTACTGAGCCAACTATTCGCTGTAAGATTTTTCTTTAAAAAATTAAAGGAATATTTTCATTATTTCTTGAGATGACCCAGGATTGGGAAGCATAGGTAAGAACTGGGGGTATAAGAGTCTTGTATATGACCTGCTTTGTGGCCCTGGTAATGGATTTGCTGCGGAGAGTTTTCAGTAAGGTATGCCCTATTTGTCACCCACCACCAGCCTTTTCCTTATCTGAGCAGAGACATCGTTTGTTGGTGTCACTAAGGATTCAACATACGTAAACTGGATCACCCTTTGGAATGTGTAAGGGTCCACAATCAGTGCCTCATCGCCACCTGTTCCTGTGTGCATATATTTTGTTTTATTCTCATTTATGGCCAACCCCAACTCAGTACACAGAGTAATATTTGCCCACCCCTGCTGTCAGGTGCATAGTCCATAGTTTTCCTTGGATCTTGATGTTCCTCCATTCTAGCTACATGAACGAACCACTTCAGCTGTTGAGCCTCTCCGACCATCTTCATTGAGATGACTCCTAGTCCCTCTCTATTCCTCTCATTGTGATTGCAGTCTCTTCTTGTTTTCCGAGCAATTCTTCAAAGAAACCTCATTTCCACAGCTGTCACCGTACTTTCCTATTTATCTGTTATTATCCTGCTTTTAGCTTCATATAGAATTATTGGCAAGTATACTGACTTATAAGATGTGGAGCTTCACATTTTGGCCCACCTCTTGCTTTCCAATAACTATAACTACTAATAACTGCTTATTCCAACAAGTGGTGCACATCTGGTAGTAGACCACGTCTGCCTTATTTATCCTGTGTAGAGTTTCTGAATCCACTTTCCCTCACCAATCCACAAATGTTCCGAGGTATTTGAAGTCTGTGACTACTTCCACTTACAATATACAAATATATAACTTACTTATATATTTATAAATATATATTTATGTATACAAATATAGTATACAAAGTCTTTAATTTCTGAGAATCTGTTGTGATTACTTATGAATCTCAAAAGGTTATAATAGTTGACAAAAGGTGGTATCAATCTAGTGTTGTTGATATTATTCAGGTTTCTTATTAGCATTCTCTACGAAATTTGTGTGCCCTTTTATAAATAAGTTATATGTGACAGCTTATTGTAATTTTCAATCTATGTCCAATGTTTTTAAGTTTGTGAAAGGGTTGAAGTTATATTTTATTTATCTTTGATTTAAAATTGTATTGTGCCTTTATTTCCTCACCCATTTTTTTACTATTCATCATTTTTTAACTCGATAGATTGCCTTTTTATCATTCCTTTCTGTGATAAATAATCTAATACCATGCATCTTTCCTATTTATGTTTTGAAATCCTTAGTTGATTTAGATTATGCTCAAACTTAATATATATATATTTTAATTATTTTTTATGTTTAACTATTGTGAAACAATAGTTTATTGAGCCATGCAAACAGAAGTTGTAAATATAAGTTTTTAAAAATTAAATTTTTTATCATCGTTTTAAATTAATTTTTCTTTTATGTTTGTATAGAAAAGTAGCTATCATGAGCCATCGCCCTAAATCATCTGATGAAATGGATCTTGCTGTTGGGGATATTGTTGGTGTAGCAGGGAATCATTGGGATGGTTATTCCAAAGGTAGAAACTTGAGGACAAATCAGGTTGCATTGTATCCATCATTTAAGGTAAATAATATAATGGTTATTGTTAGAACATTGCAATTTACTTTTAATTATTTCCCTTTTAAAAATGTATAATATGTATAAATAAATCAGTCCTTTCTAAATTAGATTCAGTGCATCATGCCAGAATATGTTTATCAATTAGAACATTTCGTACAAGCACAGCTTTGAGTCTCTGTTCGAAAGCAAGAGTATTGCCATTATCTTTTCATCTAAAACTTGATACTTAGCTAAATGTACATCCATCTGTGAAGAATTCAATTTATAATTTTTAATTTAATTCTCAATACAAAATTGTATACGAGTAAGCAAAAAACCCATCAGTTTTAGGCTTTATGATATCCTAAGTGAAATTAAAAGTAACAAAATGATGATAAACAACAACTATCTTCCTTCTTCGGCTCTATCCTGCCCCCTTCTTAATCTGTTAACCGGGGAATTCCCTTTTGAATTACGCAGCATATAATGGGCGGGAACTCTTTCACTAGGATGTATCAGTATGTCATGCCTGGAGGACATAATTTCGTATTATTATTTTTTTTATTTATGCTTAAAAAAAATGAAAAGATTATGAAACATATTTTTCTTGCTAAGAGATAACATATTCCAAGATTAAGAGGCTAGTAATTTGTGAAAATTTATTGAAAACCTTCTGATATGAGATTTTATCGGAAGATTGTAGCCTGTGATGAAAAGTGGATTTATTGGTGAAATCCGAATACCCGTGAGGAATGGCATCACGGTCAAACGAATATGTTATTCATCTCGAATTCGTTTCTGATAAATGCTGTATGAATTCTGAACTCTCCTGCGAACAACTGGAAAGATTGTATAAAAAGTTATCAGAACGTTATCCTGCTTTGATCAACTGAAAAGGAACTTTATTCCAACAAGATAATGCTAGTTCTCACACTTCCCGTCGGACCAAAGAAAAATTTAGAGAACTTCATGGGTTTAAACTCTCTCCTCATCCACCATATAGTCCAGACCTCGCACCATCGGATTACTACTTATTTAGATCCATGGCCCATTTTCTTCAAGGAAATAAATTTGATAATTTTGCAGAAATTGAAATTGCAGTCCAAGAATTCTTTCACATCCATCTCAAAGAATGGTATCAGCATAGAATCGAGCAATTGGCTAGCAGATGACTGATGACGGTAGATAACAATGGACTATACTTTGAGTAGTAATTGTATTTTATATCAAAGAAATAATAATACAAATATACTGGTATGACATCAGTGAAATTCAGTAAAAATATTTTTCATGCATCAATTTAAGGTAAGAACAAGCTCTTTTCATGCTTTTGCCAAGAAGTTAGCGAAGAAGTATTCAAGAAAGATTTATGTCCAAGTCGATCACTGATTCTGTGACTCCAGATTAAAGCACTATTGGCATCAGTCAGGTTAAATCAGTTATATATTAACAAAAAAGAGTAATATGAACCCAGATGCATTAATTTAGAAACATAGGATAAAATAGTAAAAGAAGGAAGCAAATACATTTCATTCTATGGTTATATCAGAACCATGACCTTTGCTCCTTTTACTAGGAGTATGTCCTTGGGTTTTATTTTTACCCAACTAAGCGAAGGGATATGAGGGTTATGTGTTTGGATTGTGCACTAAAAGCTATGTGACGCTTTTAAATTATAAAAAAACAGGCTACAGAAAATCTACCCACCCTAAAGAAATGTATTTCCATATCTTCTCAAACATCTTGGTAGATTGATATTGAAATTGACGTCTATGAATATTTAAACTTGATGTAGTCAAGAGCCTACCAGTCCTGAACAAAACTCAAGACTCCGATGTTAACATGCACCAACACATGGGACAAAATCTATTTGGCTGGATTTTAGTGGAATGCACCGCCAAACTATAACGTGAAGTTAAAATATGCGTAGATGCCAATTTTCATATTAATACACTGAGATGTTTAGGTATTATAGAAGTACATTCCCATAGGTTTGATTGATTTTCCTGATTTCTTTAGTAGAATTTTCAAATAATTAATTAATTCAAATGTATTTTTTGATTCCTCACTACCTAATGTTGTATTTGTGCGTGAAGTTCAAAAAAATGTTGTGCTCAGAATCGAAAATTTCCACTCGCGTTTTACGTTTCAGACATCAAGGATCAAATTTGGTTCGGTGTCTGTCTGTCTGTAGTCAAATCGATTTGACGGGCATATCACCTAGTACCGTTCATAGGATTTTCATAAAATTTTCAGAGATTATGCAGATAGGTACCTAGATGGTCCCATATCAATTATGGTCGCAATATCCTAGTGTATAGGGGAAGGCTGAGGTGGTCCCAATTATCAATAAAGGCTAATGTTCCACTTTCATATCTAACTACTGACCTATATCGCTCACAAGTGTTTTTTTCTAAGCTCTATATTTTTTCTATGGTCTTAGTGCATCTGGGTAGGGAAAATAAGATGTCATCAAAGCAGCAGGTTTCCAGAAGTACAGATGTACAACTGAGCAGGTGGCTCGTTTTAGTGAGGATGTGAAAGACAGATTCCAACACAAAAACATACTCTTGTAGTATATGTTGATTTCAAAGCTGCTTTTGACAGATCCACATTGGTACCTTGGGGTGTAAGGTTACAGAGGAGGGATTTGCACTCCAAGGTAGCTGTCGATAGACATTAATTTTTGTTAGTAACAGCTATGATAGGTGCTTTAAAGCCTATGAAGAACAGCACTCTGGTCTTGCTTTCCAACGATGTCTTAAGGCTATGAGGATTGCTGCTATCTCACTGTCGAAATTTGTTCTATCTTTACCCTCCGCAGCACTGATTTGGAATTCCCTTGAGTAAACCCTTGCTACAGCAATTTTAATGGCTGAATTAGTTAATCCAATAGTATAAATATGGAGCGAATCTTGAGGATGGTACTTTTGAGCTGTACTTTCTAGTGCTATTGCTTTTGGTGAAATTTAATGGTGAAAAAATAACGTAATGTAAATTTTATTGTTTTTTGTCCACTAATTTCTCATATATATGTGCATACGTGTTTTTCTTGATACATCTATATCTCTAAAACCGCATGTTCTATTTGGCTCAAATTTAGAGGGAAGTTAGGGATTGGTAAATAGATAATTAAGTAGGTATGAATTTTATCAATTCTATCCACTTCTAGAAAAAACACTGTCGCTTTCGGATTATTATCAAACGTGTTATTTGGCAAGCCTATAGTTTGAAAACTGCGCGTTCAATTTGACCCAAACTTGGAGGAAATTTGGAGAATAGTAAAGAAATTTCCTAATATGAATTTCATTGAATTCCATTTAATAATTAAAATTAATATAAATAAGTTTTAACAATATAATGGCAGTGAAATGTGAAAGGCACTGATCATATGGAGTGGGAGTTAGGGTAAATCATAATAATAAAGGCTTAGCGAACCTGAAGGTTCAATGCCGACACCACCAATCGCTTATTACACACCTCCATCCACCATTCGCCGTCCTAATCTAGTCCCTTCAGATCGGCTTTAATGCAATCTTCCCACCTTCGCTTCGATCTACCCCTCGGACGTTTACCATTTGGTACAGCAAATATTACCCTTTTAGGAATTCTCTCATTACTAAGCCCAACAATTTTACATGCCCATTTGATTCGCTGGGATGAAATCACCTCAATTATATTACTCGGATATAGTTCACGCAATTCGGCGTTGTGCAGCCGTCTGAATTCTCCGGTTAATTCATCCTTCTTCGGTCCGAATATTCTACGCAATACTTTATTTTCAAAAACCTTAAGTCGTTGCTCATCCCTTAATGTAAGCGGCCACATTTCGCATCCATAAAGAACTGTAGTTAAGATAATGGTTTTATAGATTATAATATTTAAGTTCCGGGCCTTCAGTCTAATCTTAATCTCTTCTTCAATTTTGTTTTTTGTAGTTATCGTAGACCTTAGATACCTAAACTTCTACTACCTGCTCAAACATATTACCATCTATATCGATATCACCAGTAATATCGCCATTTTTGCAGCTAACCATATATTTTGTCTTATCCGTGTTTATTACGAACCATAGTTCTTTACTGGCATTCATTTATGTTGTTGTATTTAGTTTTATAGTTTCCATGTCTTCGCTTAACAGTACCAGATCATCTGCATAGCCCAGCACGGGTGTTGTTCTGCACAGATCCAATCCTTTTTCATTAAAAATTAAATTAAATTTTTAATTTAATTTAATAAATCAGTAATAGATTTAAGTATCATGCCAGTAACGTTTGGAATCAATGAAACAATACAGTATAAATCAACTCTTTGAATAAAACCTAAATTTTAATAACCCCATAAAAATATTGAGTTAGGTTATGACAATGTTTTTATGGGGTTATAAAAATTTAGGTTTTATTCAAAGAGTTGATTTATATTGTATTTTTTCATCGATTCCAAACATTACTGCCATGATATTTACTGCCGTTAATTAGATTTTGTGTAATTTTCTATAAATTTAAATTAATTTTACTCTGAGTTTGTAAAAAAAAATCTCATTGCTTCCTCATCAAAGTTAGGGAAGCATTGTGTTTTTTTATTGTGTTCATTTCTATAGAAGTTCAACCAGCTCGTCGTGGTAGCGAGTTTATGTGTGATTTTTACATATATTTTTATAATCCAGCTTAAATAGTTTTGTTCTGACTGAAGAAAATTATTGGTCTCGTTACTCTGAAAAAGCAATAAGTTTAGTTTTTGTTATTTCTGTTATGGAGTTTTTGTAACATCAATTTTATGAGTGAATACATGCCAATGAAAACATGCCGATTAAGCATATATTACTATTGTTAGTGCAAAAGGTCATTTGTAAAAATTTTGTACTTTTAATTTCTATTTGTTCTAAAGGTGAAATTTTGTATTCTGCAACTGTATATATAAGCCTTCTGCTACGTTGAAAAATAGCTGAGGACAATAAATTATGAAATTGTACTAATAAATCATATAGAAACAATTAGTTTTTATGCTTTCCTGTAAAACACTCAATATTTGCATACGACTTTTTGCACTAACAGAAGTGATATTCTTGTTCAGTATGAACTCGATTTTTTCCTCGATCCAGAGTCATCCTGCCTATGCAATCTGCATAGGCAGAACTTTTTAGTATTTTAGTATTCGCTGATGAACAAAACTTGTGGATATCAAACCCTTATATGTTGAGGGATTACTGAATTTCTGAAAACGGCTTCTCCCAGAGATTTTATTCTCTTACAAAAAAATTTAGACCTTGTAATATAGATATTTTTTAGCCAATGCAAACAGTGAGGAAGCTATTTAATTTAAATTAAATATATTATATTAAATTTATATTTAAAATAATGATGTTAATCATTGTTTTTTTAATATAGGAATATTTATATAAATTTATTTCAAAAATTGAAATTATTGGAATAATGTTTATGGTAATTTTGATTTATATTTGTTCTTTACTTTCAGGTTGATGATGTGGTCGAGGCAGTTGACTTTCCTACCTACACTCAGGTACCACTTACAGCTAAGCCAGCGACGTAGTCCATTCACCGCAGAAGCTAGTTGGTCATATATTATCTGCTAGTTTCATATTTACCTGAAACTGGTCCTTCTCAAGGCTAATGTGCCAAAAATAATTGTTAAAGACTCTGCAAGAATAAGCTGTTGTCTTACGCATGCATGAATTAGGAACCAGTTGGTTTTATATTTTAGGATCTCATATAAATAAAAGACACTGCATCAGTTCTTGGCAAGTATTAGCTTTTAAGTGATTTAAATAATGACCTAAATTGATATTTTCACCTTATGAGGTTTAAGTCATAGAAACATATTTTTATGTATTTTTAAACACTCTTAAAAAATATGTTTCTTCTATTTCTTTCTATTTTGTTTTCTTGTAGACAAAACCACAGAGGTTTTCAGTAGTGGAGGCCTATCAGGCTTCCACTAATTTTACGCATTAAGCTTTTGTAAATTTGAGACTGATAAGTTGATTATCAAATGTAATTAGAATTGCGTTGTCATTCACATGTGAAACAAATGTTCGTATTTGTAGTGATTTTATAGGTTTTCTAAAATGAATACCATCTTCCATTCTATAGTTTTTAAATCTTATATGCCTATTAGATTAATAGATTGTAGTTTTATTTTAAATCATTTAGGATAAGATATGCATTATTTATAGTATGGTGCTATAAAATTGATCAAATTTAATAGATATAATTTTGAATCATAGCCCATTTTATTCTTTTCAAAGAAATATTGATCATTGGTTGTGCAATCATTATCATAGCCATCTTTTTATTTCATTTTCGTAAATAACTCATCAGATTACTGTGACATAGTTAACAATCATTCAGAAATTATGTAGAACACTATTATTAGGAGAAAATATTCATAATATCAATTACCGTCTGTATACGTAATTGTGGCTTAAGGCATTAAATATTTTAGTACACCTAGTTTATTTCTGCATTTGATTTGTACTGTGTCTTTCTGATAAATCACTAAAGATCATATTACTTATTATTTTTTCAAAATTTTGATTTGTTGAAATGCTGCATTTTACATCACTGCGTTTTAGAGAAAATTTGAAATTGAACTGTGAAGGTTACGAAAACAATGTTATCGAGAATTATTTTTAAAACTTTCTATGAGCTGATCATAGCAACCCTCTTTCACAATTAGTTAATAAATAATCTAATTAGAGACTGTTGCTGAATTAAGAATGAATTGTATTTCTGGTATCTCGTTTAATCGGAATGGGAATTGGAATGGGCAACTAGTTTAGAATAATCTAGTTTAGGAATAATTTTGTAAAACAATAACAGCAAAGTTCAAAATGTGTTATCCCACCTTAGCAAACAAGTTTTGAATAGCAAATGGTTCTCTTTATTTTTATTTATGGATTTATTTTAGTATTTAAAATTATGGCCTTACTTTAGGAACCTTATAGTATTCATCGTCTTACAATTCCTTTTCAGTTTAATTTATTCAAACAACATGTTGATTTTTTAATTAATGTTAATTAATTAATTGTTTAACACTTACATTTTTTTTTCTAAATCTGTTGTTTTCTATGCAGTTGCATGAAAACTGCTGACCTATATTAGTTGCTCAGTATCTACTCTAAATTTCCTTAGACTCTTTTATTGAGTGACTTACCTTATATGTGGCTTACCTTATAAATCATACTTTTGAAATCACAACATTAGTATTTAATGATATATGTATATATTGTATTGCACTTAATACTTTCTATTATTAATTATAATTATTCTGTAATTTGTTGTGTAAAAGGAAAATTGGAGAGGAAAATATTATACTTTTGAATTAAAGTAACTAAATAAACAATATAATAGTGAGTGAATGGCAATGTATGTAAATGACTGAATAGTTTGTATTATTGAACTGTAAGGTTAATTCAAAATATAATTTTATCTACACATTGTTTAAGTATTATAGCTTTACTCATAAAATTGTAGGTTTGGGATGTAATGACAGTTAGTTGACAGTATGACTTATCATTAATACAAATTTTTATATAATTTTTTCTAAATAATTATACATTTTAGAAAGGAAATAGTATAGTTGCTTATATTTTCTCATATAACAAAATTAAAAAAAAAAACAAACCACTATTTCAGTGAAATAGCAGATATAACCTCTCTCTTTCTCTTTCTCTCTCTCTCTCTCTCTCTCTCTCTCTCTCTCTCTCTCTATATATATATATATATATATATATATATATATATATATATATATATATATAGTGGTGACCTTGGACTTGTCTGATCCCTGCTCTACAAAAATCAAAATGTGATGTAGGAGGAGAAAATTAAACTCACGTGAAGTGTTAACTACTATTTAAATGAACTAGAAATGAATTTTTGTTAAATATTTTGAAGGTTATCTCGTTGATTCATAAACTAAAAACAAATTAAAAAAAAATCACATTTTATATCTGTCATTAGCTGATAATCCAAACTTGTTTAGGTTGTGTCTATCTACGACTACCGATAGTGTATGGAACTAAAAGGTTTTTAAAAATATTGGATATGTAGATAAATTTCCTTGTAACTTTGACCTACTAAAGTTATATACTGCTTACTGACATGTAATAAATAAATACTTAGAAGTATATAAAACATATTAAAGGATTTCAGTAACAGTAAAAAAAAAACTTCCCATATTTTTTGAATTTCTATTGATTTATAAAGTTGTGTAACACTTTGTGCGGTATTTATACATAAGCAAAAATACACACAACATATTTAAAATGTGAAAAATAAAAAGGTTCATGTTCCTGAAAATAAATTATACATGAAGGCTTTACGTATGTGTAAATTCATATAACGATTAAACGGTACATCACATAGTAAGTGTATGTGTATAGTTTACCAGAATGGGTTTATTTCTTAGGAATAGAATAGAAAAACTGTCTTCCATCAAATAGGTATAAACTTTGACTAATAACCAGCTTTCAGGGTAATATTTTTTTTGTTGTGAATTTTTTTTTCACTTTTCCTTTTGATTTCTATTGTATTTTTAAAATACAATTATGTATATATATATATTCCAAAATCCAACTTATTCAAGATTTTAGAAACTTTTAATGTTTGTACTTGTTTCAGTAAGTATGGAAAATCAAATTTTGACTTATCAGGGTGTCTACTAGTCCGCCATTTCATGAACATGTCATGGATTTATATAAGATCGGAAATTCACAGAAAAGTTTGTGTGGATTGTCATTACAGTCCAATTTTGTTCAAATGAATAATGTGGTACATACATGCTATCCGATTATCAAATATTCCTGACTAATAAGGATCCAATTTAAACAATGAAAAATAAGGAATTGAGGTCAATATAATGCAACGCTATAGTTGTTTTCTCAGTGCTTCTTTATTAGAAACAGACAATATCAATATTTTATGAGTACTATGTCTTCATTGACAGAAATGAGAAATATTTTATGACAGGAAAAGAATCTCCTCTCTTCTGATTTCCCTTTTATTGATGGTCAACAAGTTCATGGATGTCACTAGCTTGTTTAATCACCAAACATGCCAGTTATATGTTTTGAATATTGATATTGAAATTCAATATCAACATTCAATACTGCAGTTATATATTTTAACATTTTCCTTAGATTTTTAAAGTCTGTGGGATAGCTGATTTTGGATGTTAATAAAAAAATAAAAAAGAGTTTCGCTCTTTTCATGGAGGCCCTTACTATATTGTTTATTTTCTTATTTTGGTTTTCTTCCTTATAAATTATATTATTAACTCATTGTTTTTGGTTCATTATTTTCAATAAAGAGCATTCAAAATTGACTGAAAAAAAAAATGAATAACCCTCCTCAAAATTTGAGGCTTTTGTTTCAAGGAACTATGTAGAATCCAAATATCAAAAATGATGCTTGTTGGGAACTTCTATACATTCTTGAATAAGTCAGGAATTGCCTGGGGTTTTATATTACCAGAATTCGTAGATATCTATGTTTATTACTGTTTTAGTTAGAATGATTTCATTGTTAAGGAAATATTTTTTTTTTTTTTTTTTATGTTTTTGGAAATTACTAGTTTCGCTCTCTCTATTTAACGATTGAATGGAATAAATTAAAAAGCTTGGAAAAGTATCGCTACATTAATTACTTTTAAGTCAGAGAATAATTACAAATTACCACCAATATTTGTCAGCTCAACTTTAAATTGCTGTTTTAGTTATATTACAAAATTTATTGTTTTCATTTTTATCCTATCTTCTAATTCTGGTTTTCTGTATTTTATTTTCTATTTAAAATTGTTAAATTGATAACAATAAAAATTAAACAAAACTAGAGAGTGTATAGTTGAAGCCTATTGTTAATAAGGTTCATTCTTATTCTGACTATAATCCTTTTGCTGCTCATGTTTTGTCAGATATGTTTGATATTGCCATATATCTGTCGGAGATTGAAATTGTTGGGCATTAAATCGCTTGGTGTGTGACATGTTTATTCTCAATTGAAAGTATAACAACTCTGGAAAATACAATGATTGAATTTTAATAAACAATAATACTTTTAGATTTTATTAAATGAATTTTGTTGTATAGTATTCTTCTATCAGTTTTAAGTATAAATGTAAAATGCAGTGGAGTATGAGACAGCATTATCTAACTTCTAGAATTGTTTTATTTAGGAATTATGAGGCAAAGGCATTTTTGACATTGTTTCTCCTGTCTAAACCTCTTGAATTCACTCCACATTTATGAAAACAAGCCTTGTAATGTTATATGCTCCATTATTTAATTAAAATACATTTATATTAATTTTATTTTATTCTCTTAATTTTACCATTTATCCGCTTACAACATATCTAATTGATTTTTCTCTACTCAAGGCAGCTATTACCAATGAGTAGAGACTAGTTTGAAATCTTATATTATTTAGCAAATCCTTTCATCAGAATCACAGGTGTCCCCCTCACTTTTGCTTAGGATTTCTGTTGTTCTTGCCTCAGTTTCAGTTGCTGCGATGTTGGCTGGTAAATCTGACAGAAATTTAAATTTCATTTTGTTGAATGCCTTGTACTCTTCTTTCAGTAATCAAACCCATAATCTTTCTCAATATCATCTTCTGAATTTTTAGAGTCAGCATTGGGTCAGTAGATATAAAAAGTGTCAAAAGTGCATTTTATCCTCTTAATAAATATTCTGCATGTTTAGTTGTATTTCTGATTAGTATGAAAAAGTAAAAATGTCCTTTAAAATTTGTTATTATTCTACTAATAACTACAAAAACTGAAATCAATATTTTAATATTTCTATTCTTGTGTAATAAACTGAACATTATCAGAACAGTCTGTAAATCTTTCATCTCTATTTATAAATAAAGAAAAAAATTTCATATTTGTTTCCAACTTTTTAAAAATGTTATCAGTACTTTTAAGATGTGATTTATGTATCATAGGAAAATACTTGTAGGATTATATCTATAAATATTTATTAATTGGTTGTACATTATATTGTTAAATATTTCTAGGAGTAAGTAAGCAGGTAATATGTTATTTATATAAATATATATATAGTTAATGCATATGTTATAGATTTATATATTGAAATATATTTATATTCATTTAAACTTGTGTGTTTATATGTAGTCTAAGCTAATATATGGTTTTATATTTCATTTGTGTAAATTTCACTGCTCAAATATTTGAATAAATGCGCAACACATTTTAATAATTTGTTTCAATGGTCAAATAGTCTATTTTTTTTTTAAGGGCTGTGAAGAAAAAAATATGTGTGATTGCCATGTTTTTGAAGTTTACATTATGTGATCAATACACAAATTCCTTTAAACCAAAGTTTTGTGGTATTTCTAAAACGTTTTGTATATAACAAAAATGACCAAAAAAATTAAAAATAAAGATTATTTTTCCCATTACTGTCGTCTATTGTTTTTATTTATTGTATTTTTGTTTGTTCTTGTTGACAATTATGTAAGATGAATTTACTTATAGGTTGGTTCTTTAAAATTTGGGTTACTTCGTATTTTTATAATTTTTGGTAAATCAATATTAAATATTGTTTTATTGTTGATTTATTAGACTAAGCATACTCTAATTATTATTTATTCTTTGCATAATGTATTTATTTTTTTTTGTCGTTATGAGTTCAGTCAGTTACAAATTTATTCCTTTTTTTTTTAATTTAGGTAAATTTTCTAATGACTGAATATTTAATTATGTTTATTAATTTCTTTCAAAAAATATGATTATTGTCATATGTACTAACCTGAATGAAATATATTTATTTGTCAAAAAAGTATGTTTAAAAAAAAGAAAGTTAATTGTGATAGTCTGTGTCCTTGAAGTTGTTTGAGTCATAAAATATGGAAATATAGTAGACTTTAAAAAATCTTTTAAAGGCCTGATTAAAAAAATTCCTAAATTATATTGGTGGAAATCATTTTATTTATAAAGCTTTTCTAGGAAAATTAATTTATTGAAACAACTCTTTTATCCCTTTGGTTGAGTTATATCTATCAATCCAAGTCTATTATAGTTTTTAATAGATAATTTTAATATTATAAATATTTTTAAATTCCTTATTTTTATTTGTTTAATGAGGTATCAAGTTTTGATGAACCAACCTTCTGATCCCTCTGAGCATTATATTTCTGTCTTTTACATAGAATTATTTACTGTAATATTGTGTGTCATTATGAGTTGAATAGTTTTGTATTTTTTATCTAAGATGTATATTTTAATAATTTGTAAGATGTTTGTTACCTATGATTATTAATTTAAATTTATTCCTTATTTTTTGCTCCTTTATTATTGGTTTGAAAATAAATGTACTGGTTTCATTCTATTTTCTTTTCTTCTCACCTTTTTTAGGATTTCTGAATTAAGATTATTTTAATTAAATTTGTCAAAATATATTTTTATTAGACTACTTAATATGTTCAGAGAGAATCACTTTATTATCATAAAAGGGTGCTGCCCAATTACATTGGGTTGCTTTAAACACAGCATACTTATTAATCGCTACAGACAATTTTCCAAAACTAATATACAATTATATAGTATTAACAACATGTATGAGCATAATATACAATTTTTTTTTTTTTTTTATCTATATATAGATATTTTTTTTTATCATATATTTTTTTTCCTATATTTTTATTTATTTATTTTATTTTTACTATTTCTT